AGGGCTTTCGATCACATTTCAGCAACACGAGACAGGGGCATACATCATGATTAGGGGCTGTTCCCACGATCATAAGAAGCCTATAGGGGAATATTTATGTCTCCAGGAGGTGCCCCAGCACCGGGGATTTATAGCATGGTAATTGTGAGCCTTTTACACATGATTACAGCATAAGGAAGCATTTACTTAATGGTCGACGTTATGATTGTCCGTAAGGGAGAGAGCTGGGGACGGGATGGGGGCAAGCAGGAGGAGGAGGAGAGTGGTGGGACACCCCGACTTCTCCAGCAAACCATAAATCCCCACTACAAGCACGCTTGCCTGCACTATCATGTCATTCCTTTCATTACTACATGAGCTGAGAGGGCACCACTGTACATTATATACCTTCTATAGCTGCAGACCACCTCCCAACCCCCAGCTCAGAAATATTGATGGGGGGATGGTGTAATGCCTGTGAAAAACAGCAAAAAAAAAAAAAAAAAATCAGTTGTAGTGATATTGACATGCCACTGACATCTCAGCCTGTTCAGATTTTAATGAGACGTGGTTCGATAACTCTCAGAAATGCAAACGAGCTCTGGATACCTAAAAGCTAACAGGCCCCTGTAATCTCATGTTGACCAGAGAGCATCCCCGAGTCAAAACAGTTCCCTCAGATAATGATTTTAGAGGAGGAAGTATGCAGGGGATTCAAAGCCAGATTCATTCATGTCCAGCTTCCTGGGTGTCAGAGGCAGTGCCACATACCCACACAGCTCTGGCCCCGGCTCTGATGCTGCTGTTGTGATGGCTGTCGTGTGGAAAGGAGACCAGTAAGGTCATGCTTACTTCTCAAGCATTCCACTAATGAAAGACATGTGGCACTGTAAGTTTAAGGAGTAGAGAGGCGGCCATACAGTAAACATCAACAGCAGCCCTCGCTGTGTGAGATGTTTCTCAATGGGAAGATGTAAGCCAATCAATTGGACATGTCAGTGCTGTTTTTGAGGGCAAAAGGCAGCATCTGTGATTTATATAATATATCTTTGTAGAGTGTGTTTGTGTAATAGGGGTTGAAAGTAGGATTTTGAGGTTATTGCCAGCTGATATCCACCTAATCAAGTGATTTTTGTCAATAATAGAGTTCCATAAACCTTGTTTTCTTAAAACAAGGGAAGAGATCTGGCAGCACAGGAAAACTGCTTCAACGGTTTCCACTAGAAAACAGATTATTTCAAGTGTTCAAAATAAAGTGTCAGTTTCCTTGATTCTACTGTGGTCTGACTTTTATGTCTTCTTTGAAAATATCAGTACTTGAACACATTAAAATAATCTTAGTGTTGTGGCAGATTTTCTAACTTATGGAAAAATGAGACATTGAGGACTCAAAAAAACAACAACTTTTTCTTCCAGTGAAGGCTGTTCTCGTTCAGTACTTCAGTGTTTCCCCAAATTTCAATTTGAATTGAAGTGCAAATAAATTGCTTCAGCTAAAGTTATTGTTTTAATAATAAAGCTAAACAAAAGAAAAAGGAAATGCACTTTTGCCTCCGGTTCCCTAGCCACTATGTAATAAAAGTCTGCTCTCAGCACCGATCCCCTGGCCCTCCCATAGTGTGTTATTTGTGCGTTAGTGTGACTGTGTTGTGTGCGGATACACCAGTGCTTACCCTTAGAAACACATTTGATACCATCAGCAAAACGGTCGCTCAAGAGCACAGTGCTGATTGAAACCTCTTAAAAGTGTGCATTTAGGTAATTGCATGACTCCCCCAAATATGTTTTAGTCCACTTAAGGCTTCTAAACACCCTGGGCAATGCCGAGTCTGCTTGTTTCACTCACCCCTGACGTAACCCACCTTTAATAGAAAATAAATTAGTTCCTCCTAAAGTGATTATTATTCACTCAGTGCCGCCACATGTAAATGACTTTTATGAGAAACTAATGATGTTGAAGCATCCACTAAGGGAAAGGGAAGAAGGGAAGCAGAGGGAGATGGACTGAGAATGAGAGGTGGAGGGAGGGGAGGGGAAGTTGGCTCGGTACACAGAGGTTGGTGTTGTGTTTCCTGTAAATACAGAATTACAGCATGTTAGAGGTGAAGGGTTCAGCGATGGATATGCAATTCAAAATGCTCGTCTGGTTCTCAAAATGGATCTGAGCTCAACCCACACACACCAGGCTATTTTTCTTCCTCACCGAACAAAACTGGCTTTTTTATTATTTATTTTTGCAGTTTTTTTTTTTTTTTATTTCAGACTTTTTGTGAGGAAATATTGATTAGATAATTGAGCGGGCTGCCGCTGCTACAGTGGTGTTTGACCCAGACCTTGAGTTTGTTGTTAATGGTTGATGTAGGCAAGACTGACATTAAAAAACAAATTAGACTTCATCATCCCATTGCTGCTCAGAAAGTCTGAATATGACCAAATTTATGTGGATCACATTGTTGAAATAGTAAGCAGACAGACTGAAATGTGGCAACTCCAGCAATCAGTTTATTAAATGCAATAAAAAAAATCAGTTTCATTTTTTGATTAATCTGTAGTTTAATGGCATCTTTTGATGTTTCTGGCATTTGTCTCTCACTCTGTTGTCTTCTTTCTGAATGCATATCGCTGCTTAAAGTGTAAAACATACACAGAGCAGTAAAGGGCATCCATAAGAACAGATTTAAGTTACCAGAATTACACTGCAGCACAAGAGCAAGCATGTGAATTCTGCTTGAAAATGATTAGTTTGGATGACTGGTTCTTTTGCAAAATGAGAGCTTTACTGTGCAACTACCATCTATATGTTACAATGTGATTATTCTTCTGGATGCCACTGTCAGTGGACACCAGATTCTGCACTTTGCCGCTAAGACTGTTTTTCAGAAGGAGAAGGAAAAGCATAATGAAAACCATGATGGAAAACTTAAGCGTTTTGGCCTGGATGCAGTGGTTTGTTTTATCTCAGCAGCCTCACAGCAGCTCACTGACAGTAAGATGTGATAGGCTGAACATCTTGATTCTTTTAGAGCCCAGTGAAACAAGTTGCTGATTCATCTCTTGTAACTAATCAAAGTTGCTTAGCTAATCTGTTTTCTTTCAACAAATCCACTTTCCCTCAGCTTAATCCATTTGTCCTAGTTAGCAAGCCAGTCTAATAGCTAACGCTTTTCCTCCCGTCCTTTTTTAAGTTATCTTTTGTCCATCTGCCTGCAGCCTGCAAGCGGAAGGAGCAGGAGCAGAGCAAGCTGGAGCGCAACCAGGGTCCAAAGCGCACCAGGCTGGTGTTCACGGACCTGCAGCGGCGCACGCTCATGGCCATCTTCAGGGAGAATCACCGCCCGACCAAAGAGCTGCAGGTCACCATCTCCCAGCAGCTGGGCCTGGAGCTCTCCACTGTCAGCAACTTCTTCATGAACGCCCGCCGACGCAACCTCAACAAGTGGGCAGACGAGGGCCGTCCCTCCTCCACAGGTTCCTCAGGCTCCAGCGTTTCCTCCTCCGCAGTGTCCTGCAGCACGGCATGATGACAGGAGGCGTGGTGGGGGAGGGTGCTGAGGGAGCAAGGGGGCACATAGACTGGTCTAGGCAGAGATCAGCCGTAATACATGTCCTCCTCGTTATCAGAAGGAGTGACGGAGCCAGCTATTATAGATGATTTTATGAAGATGAAGCATTTTCTCAAACCAAAGTTGATCGCTCCCTTGAAATGGAAGGGGCGATACCCAGAGTGATATGACTGCAGGATGTGAGGTCCTGCTTGTATAGTCAAGGGTGCAAAGATGATTTGACTCAAAGAAGAGTCACACCCTTACATAGAAACCATCTCATTGCATTATTTTGATTATGTAGATTAGAGATAATGAGGGTATTACAAATCAGGAGGAAGCATATTTTGGTGTACCTTCAAATTTATAGTCATCTCTCCAAACGTGAAGAATCAAGAGGTGCCATTTGCTCACATCTGGGGAGCTCCGTTGTGTAACTTCTTAATCAAAAGTGTCCATCCAAAGATGTTAATCCTCCCCCTGTGTTCTTATGGTCTTATTTTCCTCAAGAATCAAGGTGAAAGAGGAAGAGGAGGCATTTTTTTAACTTCTCTTTTTTTTTTGAAGAATCAAATTTCCCTTTCTTAGCATTTGTTTCCATGGTGATGGTTCCCTGTACTGTATGGCATTGTTCCAAGTTTGGCGCCTGGGATTATCAGGAGGGTCTGTATCGTCCGTGACTCCCAGCTCTCAATCATTTACCAACAACACCATGTATTTTGTGAAGATCAGCCTGCCTTGAATGAATCAGAGTTCTCAAGGGGGAACCGCAGTGCATCTTGCCGTACACCAGGACAGAATCAATAAACACAAGTAGGAGGTAGAAACAGACTGGTTGGAGCAAACGTCTAGCTTTAGGACTCTCACTGAGCTTCCAAATGAAAGCTCCACAGCCATTTTTGACGCAAAATTAAGCCAAAAAAAAGAAAGAAAAGCTACCTTTGAACACAAAGGTTCTGTGGGGAAGAGGTACGCCTGACACAATGTACAGTGACATTGTAGTATTTTTTTCACTCATTTCCAAACAACTGTACACACCTCTGCTCCATTACGAAATCTTTTTTTTACAGATGTCTAGAAAATGGAGGAATGTGATTCTTTCAACCCTTTTTGTACAGATTTCAAGCACATCGCTCTATTTATAGAAACCTGTTGGAAGTGCGGGGCAGTTTGTTTTAGTCCTGCTGATGTACAAGGTCATTTTTTTGGTCCACAAGGGAAAGGTTTTAACACACCTCCTTGTAGCCACATGCTTAATCAAACCAAGAACGTTTCAACTGCAATTGCTGATCTGATCAACGTATTTACTGCATTTGTGTATTTATGGTTTTCCATTTTACTTTTCTCTCTCTCTATTTATTTGGTTATTTATTTATGCTATCGATATACTGTAAGTATTTATTTAACAACGCTCTGTATGTCTGTGTGAAACTGAAGACTTTTTCTGATGGGCACTTCTAGCTGTAGATTCCCATCGTAATACCAAAGATAAATATTGCCTCCCTGAATGTACGGCCTGAATTCCTAAACCCTGTATCCGATCCCAGCCCGATCCAGCCCAGCCCACCCAGTGATGTTATCTCTCTCTATCTTTAAGGCCTGGCCTTTGTTTTGTTTGTTTTTTTGGAAAATAATGGGGATTTCTTTACTCTTGCAAATGTCTCTGTGGTCGGCTCTTAACGCCAAGGCCAAAGCTTGTTTGAATGTTGTGATACTAGTTATAATTAATAATGCTATGAATAAGAACAATAATAATAATAATGATGATGATGATGATGTGGCATCCCACAGGTTCACAGGTTGCTTATAAAATTGTGTTCCTACCAGTGAGTGTGCAAAGTGTCTGGGGACTCACTCAGTGCTCTGTTTGAGTGCACGATTGAGTGCCAGTCCTTCAGGGTCACATGCAAACATGCGTACTGTGTGTCTGCCTGGACACATGCATAGTCGTGAAACCCGCCAACCTCCCTCACCTGCTCCCCTCCCCAGTGCAGACACTCCTGTCTGTGTCCAACTCAGTGTGTGATCCCATGTCCTCCCCATGCCAAACTCTTCTGACAGTTTTCTCAGTTCCAACAAGGTTCTTCAGGATCACTCCTGGAGCTGTTAGGGGTTCTTAGGTTTTGTTCTGTTCCTGAAGTTCTTAAGATTTTAGGATTCTTTTCTGGACCCTTGGTGTGCTTAAAGTGTGCTCCTCATCTCCTGGGGATCTTCAGTTTGGTTCCTGTTCCTGGGTTTTTTGTTTTTGGACTTCTGGGGTTGTTCTTTAACATCTGGGGATAATGGGTTTATGTGCCTCGGGTTCTGAAGGTCCTTGAATTACTACTGGCCTCTAAGGGTCTTTGGGTTGCCTCCTGGCCTGCCGGAGTTTCTAGTTCAGTCCTTAGCTTCTTGGGATGTCGGATTTGGTGACGAAGCCAATGAGTACTGAGAATCTCTGATTTTATTGCAAGACTTTTACAGCTCACTGGGTTTGTCCTTGGGAATTTAAAAGCCTTCAGGTTAATTCTTGATCACCTGTGCTTCTTGGAGTCTGTTCGAAGTCTAAAGGTCTTGGGGTTCCCTTTGCAACTTACACAAGTGATTTGATTTTCCAACATTTTGCGAGATGAATGCCTAAATCAGGAGGAACCCACTCAAGTTCTGATTCACTGGCCCTTGTGTATATGCTGCCAAAGAATGTTAAAGGCTAGCTTGGCCATTTTCCATCCTCAGTTTCACTCTCTGTCTCATTCTCTCTATCTTTAACAGTAGAAGGGGTGGATTGCCAGGGCCCCCCTCCACAGCATGCACTTGAAAGACGGGTGGTCATGAAAGAGGCCATCGACTTTTTCACAGACTTCAAAGGGGAGGCTTTTTTCATCCCGTCTCCTCTCTGGGTATCTGGTCTGGGGTCTGCTCTTGGCCAGACCTGTGGGCTTTAGGGGGCACTCAAGGGGGCGGGGGGAGATCAGAGAGGAGGCTGAATCATCCAGAATGGGAATAGTGGTAGTGGTGTGTGTGTAGGAGAAGTGGGTGGGGGGTTGTTTGAGGAACAGGAGGTGTTGGAGTAGTGGGGCATAGAGCTGAATTAATCTTTAATGAGCAACAATTGTA